TGTTTACCAAGCGAAGAGATCACACTATTTATATCCATCAACTCGGCGGTTTTTCTATTTATCGACAGCGGGATTTCGGGAGCTATTCATTCTACAAGATATATTCTCATTCTCCTTCGAATCCATGACTGCTCCTACTGACTCTGTAGCGTGTCCACGAACCTTTAGTTTAGGTGCATTTCATCCTAGCATTGGAAATCTTAAAATGTGTTGTAAGATTGTCGGTGATAGCCTATTGATATCTCTCTATATATTAACACGAACACTGCAAGTCCACTTGTTGACTCGACACGTTTGAAGAGTTTTATTTATGTGAAGAATAAAAGTCCTATATTTAAGTTCACAAAGCAACCAGGTGGACGATAAGACATGGTTTGATGCTTCTCTGGTTTAAATTTTTATTGAATGATTTAACCTAGAAGTTAATATTCACAGACCCAACGTTTCGCCACTTCTCTATTGCCTTCATCAGGGGTGATCTAATCGTTGCAAAAAGCGTCCTTTTATACGCTCACTAATTAGCTGTCCTTTTTCTGACGAGGTGTAGTTAGACATCAGTTAGTAAGACGCCATCATCACAATTTAAATTAGCGTGGGAAGAGTTGGACCTTATTCCTGTTTCTAACGCACTCTTAATCATTGACAGATTCCCCTCCCCATTCAATGTTGGTTAAAAGTTCGTGGAATCACTCTACAACACTGTTTTGGGGAGAAGGAGGCGAAATAAGTTAATTCAACGAAGGAAAAAGAAATAAAACTGAAGTAATATGTGGTTGAAAAGATCAAAGTGTCGACAATTTTGTCGTCCCTTGTCTTAATGACCCTATCAGAAATTTCTTAAATGAAATTTAAAGCGAAGTATGTATTCATATCGTTTTATCTACTTTATGTATACTTTCGACTGATTGAGCTTTAATCTGGATAGCACTCAGTACACTCTATTTCGTATCGATCCTGTAGTTATCTTGCGACGTTGCATTCGAGTCTTTAGGCTCAAGAAACTTTTAGTAACATGGTTTTTCAAGGGAAAATCTCTGAACAAGCCTGTGCACTTGTGCGAATTGCACAAAAGTATTAAGGCGAAACATTAACAAAAATCGCGGAGAAGTTTGGCCTCCTTCATCTTTCATAGGATTTAAACGAGATAAAACGAACAA